AAATATTTCTGTAAGGGCCCTAGGACTTTAACACAAGGGAATAGATATTCCCAAAAATTATTCCCGAACTGTTTTCTTAGTTAATACATTCAGGTACCTAAGGACATTCTCCGGTTCGATAATTTATCATGGGTTAAAATAGCCCTCACTTAGCAAGAAGCCAGCTCTTGAGCGATGCTATTCATGCTGCGAGTTGTATGGCATCTCTAACGAGCAATAAACAGACATCACGGGCAGTCAGGACATGCCACAGGCTGGAAGTTTCCATCCAAAGCACTTAGTGACTATCTGTGAATAATGAACACATTCATGGGAGGCAGCATGGGTTGTGCAGCGCCCTTGAGAGGGGAAAAGTTCTCTTCCAGTCTCACCGATGGTGAAGAATTCAGCTGGACTAGGTTTATAAAGATAATACACTGGAAAGAAAAATAATTTGCTCTGTTCCTCCCATCTTCAGGGACCCGTTAAAATTTACTGCAGATTCAGGAAGGAATCCACAAAGTGTTGCTGCACTCAAGTGCTATTTAACTCACATTTTAGGGGCTTTAGGGTTTTCTACCTGCAAGAAAAAGTTTCTCACTGCTATGTCCTTGTCTTTTTCGTGTTCCCTGACACAGAGGCCACCAAAAAAAGGTTGTTCCCGTGACATGTGCATGGGACCTCCATCCAGGCACGGGGGCTGGCAGGGACACCCCTCTAAAAAGTCCCCTCTACTTTGTCCCTGCGAGCCTCAGCGGGACACAACCCACCGCTGGCTCCTGCTCCTCACCTGCCACTTTCTGAGGGTGGCAGAGCCTGTACAGAGTCCTGGCAAACTCCAGAGGGACGAAAGATACCCGAGAGGGAGAATTTGGGTGGCTCCCAGGAAGGTGAGCGGGCCCCCACCTCTCCTAAAAAGGAGCAGGAGAGGAAGGTGTTACACAGAGGTTTAGGGCGGGGGGTGCAATCATCTTCTGGTTGATCTTTATTTCATGGGGGTTGTTTGTTCGTTTGTTATTTTGTTGTTTTCTTGTTTTATTATTGCTTCTAAGCAGCTATCCCAACCATTCCACCCCCTCTGCTCCTCTGAAGGAGTTTTGGACACAAAGAAGCAACTCTGCTTTCTAGGAACTGGTTTTGCGTTTTGGTGGCTCACGACTAGTTACTGAAGATGCTAATACAGCCTTTATTTGTTTTATTTTATTCAGATACGTAAATATCTGAACAGAACATGGCTGAAACACTATTTTTAAGTACACACACATATATGTATGTTTATATACGTGGGTTTAAGTGTATAATTATGACTCATAAATATGTATAGTATATTATATAAATGTACACATCAACCAGAGTCAGATATTGGCGAAGAATTCCCTTACCCCCAGCGATGCCTGATCTCTCAGGAAGGTGTCAAGGACTGAGCGATCTGTTCAGCGCGGCTTTTTTTGAAGCGGAGAAGGGAGCATGATGCCCCTGCCCAAAGCCACCTCTGCCCGCAGCGCTGAGGGTCAACAGCGCCCCGCGAAGATCCAGGTTCCAAAAACCACGGCCCTTAAAAGCAAAGAGGAGCAGAGGTTAGGGGTGCGAGCGAAAAAGCCTGCCTTTCATTTCGCTTCCATTTTATGACACATGGAGACAGCGAAGGGAGAGCGAGGAGAGACACCAAGCACCAGCAGGGTGATTGCATTCACATTGCAGGAAGCCGCTCCGCTCCGTGCGGGAGGCGGCAGTAGCCGGCCAGCGCCGTGACACCCTAGAGGCTCTTGTCACACTCACATACGCGTTTTCGGCCCCAAATATAGCCCTCCGTCTGCTAATTCCCCACGGAGCCCGGCCCCAAATCCCCACTTCTCTCTGCCCTCTGCGTGGCAGCCGCTGTCGAGCTCAGGAGCCGTCGGAGATGGTGACGGGGGGATACCCCACGGGCACCCCACGCCATGGGGCCATCCTAGACCGGTGGTGGGCACGAACTGGGAGCCAGGACTGTTCTCCCCACTGGCAGCGGGGTCGGGGCCACAGCCCGCGGCCGTCCCGCACCTCGCGGACCTGCACTGGACCTGGAAGTCTCCAACGCCTCGGAGAAAAACACGTACCTGGGAAAGAAAGTGAGCCAAGGATGGAAGAAAATAAGAGGCCCCAACACCTCTAGTCTAAACCCGGTCTCAAAGCCATCTCTGTAGAAAACACGTGGTTCTTTCTCCCTCCTGATCCACGGGAGGCATCAGGACCTATACAGGGAAAGTCCCTCCATTCTCCCACCTGCAAAACATAAAGATTTACTGTGCCGCAAAGAGATGGCCGTGGAAGAGAAGGCAGTGGGGAAGGAGAGGTTTCGCCTCGCCGTGGTCACTCTGAACCCCGGCGGAGACGGCCCGGGAGCTGCGGCGCGGCCCCTGCCCGGCGCGGGGACAGCCCGGGGTGATGGCAAAGCCCTCGGCACAAGGGGACCCGTCCGCCCCCGCTACCTCCGGGTAGGGGACTCCGAAAGGTGTAAGGACAGCGGCCAAGGATGCTTTTCTAATGTTAAATTAAGAAAATACCGTCATTGCGTGCTTTTTCTGCTTCCTACCCTGATGGATGGCTGCAGGAGACACACGCCCTTTTTATTCTCATCATCCTATTAAGCAGTAAGGATAGAAAGCCTGAAATGTTAGTAATGTCACTATAGCAATGCAAAAAGTGTGTAAACATAGCTACGAGCTTTAAAAAATCCCCAATAAACACGGACATGCACGTACAAGTGTTGTATTTGCAGGTATAGAATTATCCTGATTTTGTGTTTCAGGAATACATCTGAGTATACACGAGTTTCACAAGCACATTTCAGCATTATTGCGCACCAGCTATATGTTATACTAGAGAAATATGGGAGGGAGGTGGGGAGAGCAAGAGCAAATTTAATCGTGGTGATTTTGTTAAAGTCTTTATAAGTGGAAAGCAGAAAATATTACACAGATTGCATGGTCACACTGCAGAAACGCTTTATAAAATATGGGTATGAGACACAGATATGCAGATTGCATGTGTTATGTACAGAAGCAATCACGGGCCACATTTTTTTCTTTATTCCGGAAAGCACATATTTTCTGAGGCTGGCAGTCAAATAGAGCTGACGGTTTATGGATGCATAAGAACTCTCGGCTAAACCTGTATTTCCTACGTAGGAACAAGCAAAATGTGCAAAGCATAAAAGTCATCTTTATTAACTTCACTTCTGTGCAACAAGTGACAAATGCTCTATCTCCCGGCTTACAATTCACTAGACTGTCCTCGGTCTCTGCCCAAGTAAGAGAGAATTCCCACTTTTCCAGAATCCATTTCAGAGCTCGGAATGTTTGCATCTTTCTGGAGCCGTTGAAAGGGGAATTATTCCCTTATCTTCATTTTTTGGAGTTTTTTTTTTTTTTTAATGTTCTTTCAAAAATAGGCCCTGACCTCTAAGGTCCCCACTGTCACTCCGGGAAAGGAACGAGAGCGCTCCGTGGCAGTGAGGCCGGCTCGGCCCCCGGCTGCGCCCCTGGCCCGCCGGACACTCCCGCTGGGCAGCAAGCGGTGCCCCCGTTCCACAGCGGGAGGGGGAGGCGGGGCCTGGGAAAAAGATACTCGTCCAGGAATACCGCAAAGGGGAACAAGGAGGGGTCCTCCGGCAGAGAAGAGCAGGGGAGGAGAGGCTTGGCCAGCAGATGCGCATCGCAGGGGCATCTCTGTACTCACCCAAACCTCCACGAGTCTCCGACGTGTGCTCTGGACCGAGTTGCCCCTCTACTAATCTGGCTCGCCTGGTCCCAAGGGAAAAGGTAGAGGGTGACCCTCCTGCTCCGGCGCCCCGCAGCCAGGGGTACTTTTGTGGGGTTGCCGGGGTCCATGTCCCAAGGCTCTCTCCAGAGGCTGGCAAAAAGGGGGCGGGGGGGAACGACTTTAGAGCTTCCCACGAAATGGTATTACAGTAAAATGATAAAAGTCGGACTGAAGAGAAGTAACGCCAGGAAACACGAGCCGGCTCCTGGAGGGGGCAGCGCATCGCCTCTGCCTCCCCGCCTGGGGCGCGGGGAACAGGGAGTCCCGGACGGCCTCCGATGAACCGGGCTGGGTGTCTCTCAAAATAAACTACACAGACACCGTATGGACATCAATAAAATATATCTGTATAGGTATATACACATATATAAGGTAAGCAGAACGGACCTCGGGAGACCCCTTAGAGGAGAGTCCTCTCCCCTTTCCTAGCAGGCACTGTCCCCTCCACCGGCAGGACACCCACTGCCTGCTCACGGGAGCAGTCGCCCCTCCGCCACTCTCCCAAAACCGACTCAAACGCCTCAACCAGGGGGCTCCGGGCTGAGGATAACCTCACCGCTCCCCCGATTGCCCGCGGCGGCGGCGGCTGAGCCCGCGGGGCCGGAGCCGGCTCTCCGGGCGGCGGAGGGCGCATCTCCTCCGTCCATCGCCGCCGCCGCCACATGAAAGCGCTCTGCGGGGGGTGGGCGGGGGTTATTATTATTAATGATATTAATGATATTAATATAGGCGTGATGTCCGCTGCGCCGATTGGCTGTCAGGGCTGCCCGCTGAGCCCGCTGCAGCCAATGGAAGGCTCGGGATGTGGAGCGGCCAAGCCCCCCCGGCTGCGGCCCGTGTGCCAGGGCCCCGCCGCCGCCCCCCCGCACCGGGATTTGCTCCCTAATTGACCTAAATAAGGAGCTCGTGAACGGCGGCCCCGGGGCGGCGCGCACGCACAGGGACACACAGACACACACGCGGACACACGGACACACACACGGACACACGCACACGCCCGGCAGCGCCCGGCGCCCGCCGCTTTCCCCGCGTAGATCCCATTCGGCGCGGCGCTCCGCCCACCGCAGGATCCCCCGCTCCTGCCCGCCGTTTAACTCGCATGACATTTTTATTTCGTTATTAGCGTTTTCGCGCAGAATCTGGCGCCTCCGATGGGTTGTCGGGCTGCCTTTTTTTTTTTTTCCTTCCCCGTTCCCTTCCCCT